GATCATGAAATTAACAAATCTGAGAGAGGTCCACATGTAGTACCTATATATGTAATATCAAAGCAATTGAACTTGCGGTTTTTAACAAGAAGTTGAAAATATCACTTTTTACCAAAAATGACAAAAACACTCACCAAAATTAGAGAATTAAAGATATCATTACAAAATGAACAAATCTGAGAGAGGTCCACATGTAGTACCTATATATGTAATATCAAAGCAATTGGACTTGCGTTTTTTAACAAGAAGTCGAAAATATCACTTTTTACCAAAAATGACAAAAATATTCACCAAAATTAGAGAATTGAAGATATGATCATGAAATGAACAAATCTGAGAGAGGTCCACATGTAGTACCTATATATGTAATATCAAAGCAATTGGACTGGCGGTTTTTAACAAGAAGTAGTCGAAAATATCACTTTTTACCAAAAACGACAAAAATATTCACCAAAATTAGAGAATTGAAGATATGATCATAAAATGAACGAATCTGAGAGAGGTCTACCCAAGGTACATATACACCAAGTATCAAAGCATTCAGGCTTGTAGTTTTCAAGAAGAAGTCGAAAAAGTAAAACACTGACATGGACGACGACGGACAATCACTCATATGATAAGCTCCGCTTGACAAAGTCGACAGCGGAGCTAAAAATGCAGACAAATTTGGGCAAGAAAGTCTGGTGGTGAAATGTTTAACAGATTCACCATTTTCGTAGGTCCGAAGTCACCATGTGATGGGACGTATCATTTATGATGGACCAGAGATACGGGAAATGAACATCTTTGTGCATTTGTTTTCACATGATAACCATCTCTCCTTTCCAAGTGTGTACGTATTGACATAATCTAATTATACATCTATACATGACAGCCAATAGTTTCATTGATACCATTTATTTAAAATCAATTCCCCATACCATATGTAAACTGTTCCTTACCTTATCTAATTTAATTTTGACACTTAATTGTTGAAGTACATGTAAAAAGTTCAACATAAAACCATCATTGCACAATAAACTGTCATCAGCCTGCAATAAACAGTATAGTTCAGAAACATAAATTATTGAATATGATTCACAAGCCTAAGCTGCAGTACATAATTTTTTTCATATGCTAAGTCATCAACTCCATTATTAATGTAACTAGTAATGTTATAAATTAATTCATAGTAAATATTATATAGTAAGTACAAAGTAAATGCATTAATTATTCGCTGGAATTTTCATTTCACAATTTTCGTCAATAAGGAAAAATCCGCTAAAATAAATTCATGTGAACATGTAAAATAACAATAGTACTGTAAAATATGTATTAGAAGCCGCGGCTTCTACCGGGGGTATTAAAATGGTACAATGCAACAGAGGGGATGCAGCTTCTATTAGAGAATCTACACATATGAGAACCGGTGAATTCCTCAATTGTTCAAAAAAAATATGTGAGGCTTCTATTAGGGATGCAGCTTCTAATACAGATTTTACGGTACTCATTGTTTTCCTGCCAGGTTCGTGAACTTAAAACCGAGGGAAATTGCTCAAAGCATTGAAATAGTGGTTTTACAGTACTCCTAAGTATGCATTATGTTATGTACCAGCATTTCAATTGCCTGAATAAGTCACTCTGATTGGTCAAGAGCATGTTTTTAACTATGCAAGCTGAGGTAAAATACCGGTACAGTGTATACTATAGTTTTTCAAGTTTAAAAGTAGGCCCCAAAACATGAATAATACACAGTAGACATAAATCCTACATGTCAACTGTAATTGGCTCTACGAGCATAGAATGTAATGTACAACATTGCGAGCCTTGGCTATATATTATTTTATTTTAGCACGGTTGTAAAGTAGAATGCTTCATGTGTTGTATCACATTTCTGCATAGTTTTTCGATGCTTTGAAGTTATTTCCAAGGCAACTACTATAATTAATACGTTTATGGCAAACTGAAAACATAGAACATCTAATAAGCAAGGGACTGACACTGTGTAGAGCAATGAAAATATGTAGAATGACAGAATAAAACCATCCAACGTATACAACCAAATAATTTCAATTAAAAGTTTACCTACCTGCATCTGAGCTTTTTTATGATTTTTATTGATGACATTTGCTATGTAATCAAGACCAGCTTCTCTGGTCTCTGAGTTCACTAAAATACAATGTAGCACCTTAAACAGTTCATTCTGAAGAAGAAAAAAACCAATGACATGTGAGTTATTACAGTCTTTCAGACATCGACAGGTAGCAAAGTGTGACAATAAAGTATGGGACAAGTCATGCAATATTTTGTTGGTCACATTAGTATAAATACTGTGTTCACACATGTGCCAAAAACCCGGTTTGGAGACCAGCTTTATAGTTAAGCCAGCGTTGAAACACGTATGAACAAGATAAGTCTGTGCCATGCCGATTTAATTTAAGACATCCTAAAATGCCAATTCTCAACCGTCACCTTGTACTTACAGAAACGATTTTAGCACATGTGAACAATATCGTCGCCTTAAAAGCATGCCCTCAGAGTCAGCCTCGCTCTGAAGTTCCATTTATTGCAAGTATTTCAAAGAAACAAGGTGGCCAATAACAACTGCGGCTAAGTTTAGCCTTTATACTCGTATGAAAACAGAACCAATTAAAACCACTGATAACGAATGTTTACCAAGTTAGTCAAGCCGGCTCTTTGGCACATGTGTGAACATGGTATTAGTCACTGACATAAAGTAAATAGAGAACTCTGTCAGCTACCAGATACTGTAAAATGACTAATTTTCACTGGGTTTAAATTTCACTGATTTAACATTTCAGGCATATTCAGTGGGTTTTAAATTCACAGTTTTATCATTTAGATAATGTGTTCTATGCTAAATATTACATATTCACTGGGTTTTAATTTAGCGCATTTTCCAGTCAGCGAAATTAGCAAAATTAAAACCCAGTAAATAATTAACCCCTTTACAGTATGCAGCAGTATAGAACACAAACCAAAGTGTGCTTACAAGGAGTAGCTACACGGTTAAAATTATATTCTGAAATCATTCATACTGCTGTTGGGGTCTTGGGACAATTATGTGAAATATTTGATGTGTGAATTTGCACAAATTGTGGGAAATGTGAAATAAATTCTACAATGATTTTCAGAAGAGTTTACAAATGTTGAAGGTCATTTTTATGAGCTTTGAGTGAGCTGCTGTAGAGCATGGTCGGGGAGCCGAAGTAAACAGTTAAAGTCAAGAAAACAGCACAAGCTCAACTTTGAGATAATCTTGAGCAACCAAATTTATATATGTTGCTCATCTTGTTACACTGATTGGAGAGTCTTAACAAAGTACAGTTTTCTGAGAGCTTTCAGCGTTTGTTTTCCCTGTGATAGTTGTCAGGCAGTGAAAATACACAGACGCCCACCCCCAAGAATAGGAATGAGTCACCACATGCAACAGCTTTATTTCAATGTCTGGTGTGATAATGGCTTTATGAAGGCAAATGATTGGTTCAATGTCATTAGACAATGATGTGGATATTCACTGTGAATTTAAAAGATTACTGAGACTTACCCGAGCTGTTTCCAGTGATGTCTGTAGTGTCGCATTTATAAGGCGACAATTATCAACAGTCACAGCTCCAGAAAAATATTTATCAACTAGTCTTGACTGAGATAAAAAAAAAAATCATATTCAGTTTAGTATTTTTAATATTAATATTAAACATTGAACTTGAAACAAAAAGTTATTGTATATATGATTCACATAGTCTTTTCTGATATTTATGTTCACTCACATAATTCTTCAAAAAATAATAAAATTAAAAGACCATTTTCCATTCTCTGCGAGATCTCGCTTTATGCATGAAATCAAACGTAAAAACAGAACAAAGATCAAGATCATGTTGTAGTGGCGACAAACATCGCGTGGGGTTCGACAAACTAAAAGTATTATGAGGGATATTTCCATGCCTAATTATGTGTTGTACACATTTGATGATGGTCAATTTTGATGAAGTAGGAGTATTCAAACGCAATATTCCTCTATCAAAGATCGGCCTTCCGATGTGAGCTACGTACCCCAGACCATTCGTCCCGGTGTTATCGCTATCGCCACACGAGACTCCAGCTTGTCTCCTATACAATTTTCCTTCCGCCCACTTAATTTTAATATTCATATGACCTTTGCACTGACATCGATAGCCAATCGCATTCGACCGCGGACGTCACTCTAAATAAACAACTGAATAAATTAATATACCATATTTGGAAGATAGCGGGTAAATTCAACGTTGTTGGTATGTTCCTTCGGGTTCCGAAGTCGCACGAAACGAGTTCATGTTCCGTTATCTTTCGCAAGTAAAACAGGTCGATATGTATTAAACATGGCATTTGTTTTCTTGTTTTAACCCCCTTATTACGCAAGCTTCCGTCGAAGTGGTGTTTTTTTCGACGATTTGTGGCATGTTGCAAAACGAACGAAACATTGCGGCATTCTTAGCGGTGGATAAGGGATCGACTATGTCGTCACATTTATGTCTCGTTTGAAAGAGAATAAACAACCGCTCAGAAAAATATGTTGCTAATATTTAAGTGCGGTGCCTTGAAATCGCCTGCCCGACGTCCAAATTTCAAAAGGATGTTCGATTTGCAATGACGACCGTTCATATGTACTAGGCGACGTTACTAATTACTACTAGGGTCGGTGTTTGC